CTCTGGCCGCGCGCGCGGGGTCTGCGTCCCGGGGAGCCCGGAGCCGGCCCGGGGTGGGGGGCAGAATGGGACACCCCCGGGCTGGCTGGGAGCCCCCCGGACGCACGCAGGGCGGGGACCAGGAGGGGTGCATTGGCGGAACGAGCGAGTCAATAACAGATCGATCAGTTAGGGACATATGGGAAGGCAGAGGGGGCCCAGGGCGGCGGGGGCACGGCAGGTGGGGAGGGCGGGCAGGAACGTGCAGGCGGCACTGGGCTGGGTTGGCGGGGTGGGGGATGGCAGTCCGGCCCCTGGTGGGTCTGGGGGGCCGCAGGAAGGAGGGGTGAACTAAGGGCCTGTTAGGAGAACAGTCTTCCCCGAGCAGGGGACGTGTCTGGGAATAAATGTCTTTGGGGACCGTCTGTTCATTTGAGTGCGGCCCTGTGTCTGCCTTTAAGCCGACAGGAGACCATCGCCCTCCTCCGTCCCGCCCTCATCCCACGACCCCAGAGGACACCAGACATTGGGGTCCAGGGACCAGGCCAGAGGGCCCACCAGGGCTGGGTGTGGGACAGTTCCAGGCCGCAAGGCCGTCAGAGGAAGGTGCCCCTCCATGAAGAGGCGGCACTCGGACCCCACAAGGAGGGGCTTTCTGGAGTCAGAGCAGTTGGAGACTGAGAGAGGCTCCTCTGGGAGGTGGTGAGGTCCCTATCACGAGGTCTGTAAACAGATGGTCAGCGGGAGCCCAGGGTCCTTCAGGACCTCAGCATCTGCACAGCCCTGGTGGAGGTGGGCTCTTCTCCCTCGACACTTGGCACTGCCACTGAGACCACCCGCCCCTCTCTGTTGCTGCTGAGGCTGGGGCACCAGCGTTCATCCTGTTTGGGGGTTCAGAGTGCTCTACTTCTCCCTACTCCACCCGACCCTCCCTCCTGGCCTCCCAGGCTAACCCCCTCCAGCTCTCCTTCCACTCTGCCACTCAATGCTTAGCCTGGAACATGAGGCTCCCCTGCTCTAACACCGCTCAGGGCTCCCTTCTCCTCCCAGGTCAAGGTCCAGCTTCTCGGCCTGGAGTTCAGGCGCCTCTGTGACATGACCTCAGTGCCAGCCCCATCCATCCCAGCCTCATCTTGGGGTGCTCTCAGCTAGAGACGGAGACAGCCCTGTGGGCAGAGAAAGCCCAGCTTCTGGCCTGTGTTGCTGCATCCCAGGGAAGTGCCCTTCAGCCTCAGTTTCCCCATCTGTCAATGAGGATCATGGTTGCCCCGCCAGTGGGGTTGCTAGGAACGCGTGGGCAGGATGCCCACCCACATGGCACTGCCAGGCACAGAGTGCTCAGAGACGGCAGCCCTGCAACCTTCCCACTCTACCTGCCTGCATCTCCAGAGCGACCGGCCGGGGCTCTGCCTGGCTCCTTGGCTCCTCTGGGCTGCAGCCCAGGCCAGCCGGGCTGACTCATGCGTAGGAGAGTGGGCATGGCGGCAGTTCCACTCTGCGGCTGCTATTTATAGCACCAGGCCAGGGTGCGGGCCTCGTGAGCCAGGGGAGGATGGGCCTGAGTCCCTCCTCGCTCTCCCTGGGGCCCAGGGCTCCACCCCCACCTGGGCACCCCTTGCCCCATGGCAGGGAGGGGAGCAGAGGGCTGGGCCCCTCCTTGGCAAGCTCCCCCGTCCAACAGAGAGGACAAGGGGACTCAGACACCAGGAGGCTGAGTGAGCCAGGGCTGGGACTTGTGTCTGCTGGGTTCCCTGCCGCCTCTCATCCCTGCTCCCTCTTCGGAGAGTCCCTGAGCATCCCAAGCGGCACAGAGGTGGGTGAGGAAGGGCTTGGAGGCTGGCGCCTCCCTGGCAGGGAGAGGAGGACCCATCAGTCCCTCCAGCTCCCAAGACTGTCGGGTTCTGCACGTGTTCACGCTAAATCCTCATGGTGAACCCTGCCGGGCAGTGTGCACGAGAGCACCACTGTTGCATGTGCTGAGCCGCATGCGGCATGCACGAGGCCACTGTCCCTGCCATCATCCAAAAACTGAGGCTCGGAGAAGGGAGGAGAAGGGAAGTGACTCACCTGAGGTGGCCCAGTGGGGAAGAGGCGGAGTCAGGACTGGAACTCGGATCCATCAGGCTCTGAGGCCACAACCCAGACTGCTGAGGATGAGCGGCTGCCCCTTGGCAACCCCCTCTCCTTGTCCCTGGCTGTCCAGGCCAATCATCGGCAACCTCACCAGGGCTCTTCACCTTGCAGCCCTGTGGACCTCTCCCCACCCCAGTGCCCTGGCCAGGCCCAAGCGAACCTCATGTGTCCCCGGCTGGCTGTGGGAGGAGGGCAGCTGGGCCTGTCCTCTA